CCCTGCAACGGAGTGAGCTACCATTGCTCTGTCCCAGCTCCTGCCATCCTAGCAGTTTGAAAGCATGCCAGTGCAAGTAGATCAATAGGTACTGCTGCGGCAGGAAGGTAAACGGTGTTTACATGCCCTCTGGTTTCCATCATGATATCTCATTGTGCCAGAAGCTACTGTTGGGTCCATCATGAGACGTCTACCAGTTTCCAACCACAGATACCAGCAGCCTTCAAGCAAGCAAACGTGCCTTATTATTGCTCCATAGCATCCCACTGCCAGAGGATTGCCTCCTTCCATTCACCAGTTTGCCTCCTCCAAGTGGAAGAAACCTGGGCAGTGCTGAATGTCACATCCATTGCCAGGTGTGACCTGCTGGTAATAAAAAAGGGCTTTCCCCTTGGCCTCCCTTTATATCCACTCAGTTGCCAAGGGCTTTTGTGACATCACAAGAAACCCACAGCCAGTGGCAACAGCTGGGGAGGCATCATCTTCATTGCTTTGAGCCTCACAGTGGTGGGTGGACCTATCAGTGATTGTATGCTTGTTTATTGAGGACACAGGTGGCGCTGTGGTCTAAACCACCAAACTGCTTGGGCTTCCCAATCAGAAGATTGGCAGTTCGAATCCCCACAATGGAGTGAGCTCCCGTTGCTCTGTCCCAGCTACTGCCAACCTAGCAGTTTGAAAGCACGCCAGTGCAAGTAGATAAATAGGTAGTGCTGTGGTGGGAAGGTAAACAGTGTTTCCATGCACTCTGTTTTCTGTCACAGTGTTCCATTGTGCCAGAAGCAATTTAGTCCTGCTGGCCACATGACTGGATGGCTGTCTGCAGACAAACCCTTGGCCTGAAATCAAGATGAGTAGTATTATTAGTAATAATATTAGTAATACTACTACTAATGAATGGAATGCCTAATATTGCCCTTCGAGAATATTAGTGGCCAGACTTGCTGAGCTTCCATGAGATCACAAGCAATAAAAAGGGTGAAATAGGCTGCAAATTAAAAGTGATCTATGAATTATTCACAGCAGCAATAGTAGCTCTGTTGAAATTTCAATTGTCTGATGTAGAGACAATCTCCTGCAATGGTAAAGTCTGTTGGCTGGTTGCACGTTTTTGTATCCTGAGCAAAAAAACTCACACACTTTACAAATAAATAAATAAATTATATGTAGATAATTGCTTGTATACAATTGTTTGATGCCTCTCTGGTGATGGAAGACTCTTGGATCCAGTACAGTAGTACCTCGGTTTACAGACGCTTCAGGTTACAGACTCTGCTAACCCAGAAATAGTACCTCGGGTTAAGAACTTTGCTTCAGGATGAGAACAGAAATCACACGGGGTTGGCAGGACAGCAGCGGGAGGCCCCATTAGCTAAAGTGGTACCTCAGGTTAAGAACAGTTTCAGGTTAAGAATGGACCTCCAGAATGAATTAAGTTCTTAACCCGAGGTACCACTGTACAGTCGTACCTTGGTTGTCAAATGCCCTGGAACTCAAACATTTTCACTCCCAAACCCTGCAAACCCAGAAGTGATTGTTCTGGTTTGCAAATTTTCTTTTGGAACTCAAACGTTCGACAGGGCTTCCGCTGCTTCTGATTGGCTGCAGGAGCTTCCTGCAGCCAATCAGAAGCCACGATTTGGTTTTTGAAAGGTTTGGAAGTTGAACGGACTTCCGGAACAGATTCCAGTCAACTCCAGAGGCTTTTGTCATCACAAATAGGAAGCGATTTGATTTTCTTCCCTGCTTTTATGATTAAAACTTCCCTTCTCCTTCAGCAGCTTCTGAGTGCTGCCGGTAAGTGGCTCAAGGCACTTTATTTTGTGGCATTTTATTTCAGATGTTTCCTTGGGGGGCGGGGGCGGGGGCGGGGAGAAGGCCCTATTTTGGAACACTCTTTTGGTGCCTTCAACCACCTTCATGTGACCCAGTCAGATGGGTGGGGTACAAATAATAATAATAATAATAATAATAATAATAATAATAACAACAGACAGGCTGAGCTTGTTTCTCTGCTAGGCGGATGGGCAGAGGGAGATGATGTCGCTGCCATTATGCCATCACAAAAGCCATGTGCAAGATAATAGACCCTACCAGTACCTGAGGGGGAGATGCCAGGGACTGAACATGGGCATGCAAAGTGGGTGAGGCGTGAAGGTAAACAGGTGTGGGGCATGGCAGGTGTTATAAAGTCAGATTCCCCACACTTCTGGCAGCTGCCCACCTGGAAACGATGCCTTATGAGGAACGGCTAAGGGAGCTGGGCATGTTTAACCTGGAGAAGAGGAGGTTAAGGGGTGATATGATAGCCATGTTCAACTATATAAAAGGATGTCACATAGAGGAGGGAGAAAGGTTGTTTTCTGCTGCTCCAGAGAAGCGGACACGGAGCAATGGATCCAAACTACAAGAAAAAAGATGCCACCTAAACATTAGGAAGAACTTCCTGACAGTAAGAGCTGTTCGACAGTGGAATTTGCTGCCAAGGAGTGTGGTGGAGTCTCCTTCTTTGGAGGTCTTTAAGCAGAGGCTTGACAACCATATGTCAGGAGTGCTCTGATGGTGTTTCCTGCTTGGCAGGGGGTTGGACTAGATGGCCCTTGTGGTCTCTTCCAACTCTATGATTCTATGATTCTATGATTCTTCCTAAGGGCCCCAGGTGTGCTGGGAGGACAAATTGGCTGGCTGGTGTCTGAAGAAGATGAAAGCATTGTGATGGGTTAATGGGGAATCGGGGGTCCCCCAGATCCCTGGGTGCCAGATTCCCCCCTCTAGATTTTTGGGTGCTGGGGTTTAATCAGAGCTTTGAGAGTTATGGTGAGCTGACAGGCTCTCACTTGTGGGGTGCCTCAGGGTTCTGTCCTCTCCCCCATCTACATGCCGCCTAGGAGAGATCATCAGGGGGTTTGGGCTGGGTGTTCATCAGTATGCGGATGATACCCAGCTCTACCTCTCTTTCAGATTGGAACGAGTGAAGGCGGTGAAGGTCCTGTGTGAGTGTCTGGAGGCAGTTGGAGGATGGATGGCAGCTAACAGATTGAGGCTGAATCCTGACAAGACAGAAGTACTGTTTTGGGGGGACAGGAGGCAGGTAGGTGTGGAGGACTCCCTGGTCCTGAATGGGGCAAATGTACCCCTGAAGGACCCGGTGTGCAGCCTGGGAGTCATTCTGGGCTCACAGCTGTCCATGGAGGCACAGGTCAATTCTGTGTCCAGGGCAGCTGTTTATCAGCTCCATCTGGTACGCAGGCTGAGACCCTACCTGCCCGTGGACTGTCTTGCCAGAGTGGTGCATGCTCTGGTTGTCTCCCGCTTGGACTACTGCAATGCGCTCTATGTGGGGCTATCTTTGAAGGTGACCCAGAAACTACAACTAATCCAGAATGCGGCAGCTAGACTGGGGACTTGGAGCAGCCGCCAAGACCACATAACACTGATCTTGAAAGACCTACACTGGCTCCCAATACGTTTCCGAGCACAATTCAAAGTGTTGGTGCTGACCTTTAAAGCCCTAAATGGCCTCGGTCCAGTATACCTGAAGGAGCGTCTCCACCTCCATCCAGAGTGGCTGGGGAAACTCAGTCAGATGGGTGAGGTATTATTATTATTATTATTATTAGCTTATTATGGTGTAAACATGGGTGAAATATACCACATTTCTTAAATACACTCGTCTCTATGGTGCCTTGCTTTCCCAATGGAAACACAAGGGAAAGGGAAAGGATCCCTGGGCAGTTAAGTCCAATCAAAGGCGACTATGGGTTTGTGGCACTCATCTCGCTTTCAGGCCAAGGGAGCCGGTGTTAGGTCCACAAACAGTTTCCCAGGTCATGTGGCCAGCATGACTAAACCGCTTCTGGCGCCATGGGGCACTGTGACGGAAACCAGAATACACAGAAATGTTGTTTCCCTTCCCACTGCGGAGGTACCTATTTATCTACTTGCACTGGCGTGCTTTCGAACTGCTAGGTTGGCAGGAGCTGGGACAGAGCACCGGGAGCTCACTCCATTGTGGGGAGTCGAACCACTGACCTTCCGACCGGCAAGCCCAAGCGGCTCAGTGGTTTAGACCACAGTGCCAACCGCTGGTGAGTGCCTGGAACACACACACCCCAGAATATTGCTACCAGTCGACAAAGATTGAGGGTGGCAATTCTATGGTCATAGGAGCCAGCTCCCAGGGGCTGAGGTCCCTTCAGTCCCCAATAAAATATTTGAGGGGTTCACCTCACCCCCAAGTTAGTGGGAATTGTCATTCAAATGGTGCGTGTGTCATGTCTTGTGATCGATTATGCAGGGTAGGGCTTACCTGCTCCCCCCTCCAAAAAAAATATACAGTGGCACCTCATGTTAAGAACTTAATTCGTTCTGGAGGTCCGTTTTTAACCTGAAACTGTTCTTAACCTGAGGCACCACTTTAGCTAATGGGGCCTCCTGCTGCCGCCACGCCGCCACCACACGATTTCTGTTCTCATCCTGAAGCAAAATTCTTAACCTGAGATACTATTTCTGGGTTAGCAGAGTCTGAAACCTGAAGCGTCTGTAACCTGAAGCGTCTGTAACCCGAGATACCACTGTATTTTGTTCAAGTTGGCATCGCTGTCTATGAATCTATGAAATTAGGGGAAGAAAAGAAAGAGGAAAAGGATCTCTTGAGAAGAATTAAAGGCATAATAGTGTTAAGAGGGAGTACAAAAGCAGTCTGAAGTGAATGGCATTGCTGGAAGAGATGCTGAGAAACAGTTCAAGCACCTTCAATTAGAACTGCTGGGCAGAGGAAGAAACAGATCTCCCTCCTTCTGTTCCCCGCAAACTCTCTTCTCTGTCAGGCTTGGGACTGCTTTGCAATGTAATTGCTGCTGGGAACATGCGGCTGTGCTGGGAATCTGAGTCACTCTCCCTTCAACAAGCAGCGGTACTTCAGAGAGTGTGATGAGAAGGGGAAGAGCTGTGTCGGATGCTTCCGAGTGGCCAAATCTAGTCATCCAGCACGGAACCAATGAAAGAGGATATGGGCCACTTGCTAGAAACCACCCGAGGCACAGCAAATTTGCACACTGCCAATCATGTCCTCGAACAATGTGTCCTGCATAAGAAAAAAGAAAGGTTTCATCAACAACCAGCTGACTAATCAGGCTGAGCAGCATTATGAGGATGCTGTAATTCAGCTGGAAGGAAGGAAAGAAAAAGATGCTCTCAGAGGCTTGTGATGGGATCTGCAGACAGGCTTCGTTGCAATGTCATCAGCCCAGTTTTGCTTCCCGGATGGCACAGAGAGGGCAAGATTCAAAATGATGCACATTCATCCTATTTTTATTTATATACACTAATTACATGACACCGTATAACAGAGATGGGGTTTAAGATTTTGCAGAGTAGGGGCTAGCACAGGGCATAGCTGTCAACTTGCAGATTTGAAAATAAGGGACCCGCAGCCTCGAAAATAAGGGATCAGCAGCCAAAATAAGGGATTTTCCAAGCACAGGTATGTTCAACATCTGAGCCCCTCCAAGCCAAAGGCAGAAAGCCCAGCCAGCAGCCAAACGAAGCCTCAAGCGGTGGTTCCCACAGCGCAGCAACCCGGCAAAGGGAATGCAGCAAGGAAAACCACCATCACCTCTCCGCTGGGAAGCGCTGAGCAAAGGCGAGTCCCCAGGCAACACGGCCAATTTGATCGGCACAAGGCATGCAAGCTCCAATCCCCCAGTCATTCTTAGACTCCTTATTGGGTGAGCAACGCAGCCAAGCAACACAGTTGGAGCCTCCCTCCTCCCTGGCCAGCAGGGAGGGAGGGAGAGGAGCTGCTTCCTTTGAAACCTGGGAAATTTAAGGGACATCATCAATAAGTGACAGCAGCAGGACACAGTGCTGGGATAAGGGACTTTCCTGCCAAATAAGGGATGGTTGACAGGTATGGCACAGGGTTAACCAACCTGGCACCCTTTGGATATTGTAGACTTCTGACTCCCTTCATTCCCCTCCCACACCTACAGTTTCCAGAGTTCCCTGTAAAGAGTGTTTGGTCATTAAACCGCTCTAGGAATTGTAGCTCTGGGAGTTCCTAAGAACTCTCAGTGCCCTCGACAAACTACATTTCCCATGATTCTTTGGGAGAAGCCACAACTGTTTAAAGTGGTACGATGCTATTTAAGTGTAGGGTGGATGGTGCCTTTAGTCTGAGTGCCCCCAGAGATCCAGAGCCCAGTTGTAAATGAAAGTTGCAACTTGTAGAGAAAAGGCAATTGGAAATTCCATCATCTCTCAGTCCATCACAGCAAGTGCGTGAAAGAGAGCCTACCTGAAACCTTAACAAAACAGCATCAAGTCATTGGTGTTTTCTAAACAGAGATGGCATTGGTCTAATAATGTAACAGGAGCTGGTTTTATAGGGTTGGTGTTGCCACACATAAACCGCCAAGGAAAGCGGGATCTGCAGGCAGACTTCTCCTGCAGAGCACAGTGATCAGGTGTGATACTGTAGCATCATAAAGGTAAAGGGTAAAGGGACCCCTGACCATTAGGTCCAGTCGTGGCCGACTCTGGGGTTGCAACGCTCATCTCACTTTACTGGCTGAGGAAGCTGGCATACAGTTTCCGGGTCATGTGGCCAGCATGACTAAGCCTCTTCTGGCGAACCAGAGCAACACACGGAAACGCCGTTTACCTTCCCGCTGGAGCAGTACCTATTTATCTACTTGCACTTTGTGCTTTCGAACTGCTAGGTTGGCAGGAGCAGGGACCGAGCAACAGGAGCTCACCCCGTCGCAGGGATTCGAACCGCCGACCTTCTGACCTTCTGATCGGCAAGTCCTAGGCTCTGTGGTTTAACCCACAGCACCACCCGCGTCCCGTAGCATCATAGTAGCTTTAAATATTTTGTTGGGAGACGCCCAGAGTGGCTGGAGAAACCTAGCCAGATGGGCGGGGTATAAATAAATCATCATCATTCCATGGGACTGTCAGGGAATGGTAGCTGCCAGCTCAGGAGAAATGACAACACAAAATGGGAGGTGGTGAAAATTGTTTAAAAACTCCAGTAAAACATATAAGCCTAAATCACCATTTATCCCAGTGACTTCTGGCCCACTGCATTTGGTTTCCACAACTTTCTGTATCTCATTGTCTTTCAACTCCCACCTTGCATCCAAGAAAATGAGATTGAGCCCCCGAAAGCTTATGCTGTTCTATTTCATTTCATTTCTCTTTTAATTTGTACACCACCTTTCCATATTACTATACACAAGGCAGTTTCGAGCATCCAAATATACAGCAAAGAACACCATATAATAATTTGATCCAATGCAAAAAGTCATAATATGACATAACTTTAAAATGGAACGACTTATTTCAAATAAGGTAATATTCAATAATCTGTTAGAATATAATAGTGCAAAATAAAACCAACTCTCAAAACAGCAGCAAATAGTTAAACAGACATTCATTGCATTTTTGTTAGACTTTGAGCTGCTGCGAAACTCTTTGTTGTATTTTGTTGTATTTTGTCATGAGGCGGCATTTTTTCCTTCCTTCCTTTGTGTACATGAATTAGAGCATGGGTAGGCAAACTAAGGCCCAGGGGCCGGATCCGGCCCAATCGCCTTCTAAATCCGGCCTGTGGACGATCCAGGAAACAGCATGTTTTTACATTAGTAGAATGTGTGCTTTTATTTAAAATGCATCTCTGGGTTATTTGTGGGGCATACGAATTCGTTCTTCTTTTCTTCAAAATATCGTCTGGCCCCCCACAAGGTCTGAGGGACAGTGGACCGGCCCCCTGCTGTAAAAGTTTGCTGACCCCTGAATTAGAGAGTAATTCAGCACATGCAGGAAACAACTGATTCAGCAGACTGTTATGAAAGGTAATTTGAAACTGATGCCACCAACTCTGTTTCTTATACTTCAGCTATTATTTACCAGATTGCCAGGTCTGTTATATATGGGACTGAACACTGGGTGGCAGGAGAATCCCATTGACAGCATTTTCACACCAATAGCTTACCCGGAGGACAGCTATTAGAAAGTTTCACTTCTGAAATTGTGGTCTGAAGCACTACTGCTGCCTTCTGTGTGCATGGTTCAACATCTAGAAAGACTGCATTTGAACTCGCATCTCACTGTTCTGTTCCAGCCCCCATTGCCAGCCTTCCCCCCTGCCCAAATGGAGTCACTTCAGGAAAGGATGGGTCCATGCAAAATGGCATCTCCACATGAAGGCAGTTTATGAACTTGCACTGTAGGCCAGAAGCCCAAAAATGTCCCCACATGTGCCATATAGAAAGTTCTAGCAATCCTAAACTGAGGCTTAAGCAGATGGCTGAAGGGTCAACATGCCTATGACTTTGAACATGCAACCATTACAATCTTGCAATATTCAGTTTAAATCTGACATGAAGTCACTAAGCCACAGGATTTCCCTACCCCCAGCAGGTGGGGTTGAGGAGGGAAGCCTATGCACAATGATGTTGAGACATGTGCCCACTTTAAGTAAATATCATCAGAAGACATGGCGGCGGGGGGGTGGGGGGAGAAACACACAACACCTATGGCCATGTTTTGGATAGTGTGGATTTTTGCTCTTTACAGATACAGTGGTGCCTTGGTTCTCAAACGCCTTGGTACTCAAACAACTTGGAATCCAAACAAGGCAAACCTGGAAGTAAATGTTCTGGTTGCAAACTTCTTGGGAAGCCAAACGTGCTCCGTTTTGAGTGTTAGCGCTTCCAATTTGAGTGGCACAGTTCCATTTTGAGTGTTATGCTGAGGTTTGTTTGTTTTTGCTATTTATTTTGCGTTTTTGTTTTTGCAGCTCTTTTGTTTTTGTGACTGTGACTGTGTGGAACCCAGTTCAGCGACTGAATGATTGATTGATTGATTGATTGTGTGTGTGACTGCAGTACATGGTTTGTTGCTTTCATTTTATGGATCAATGGTCTCATTAGGTAGTAAAATTCATGTTAAATTCCTGTTTTGGTGGTTGCTTTTAAAAGTCTGGAATGGCTTAATCCATTTTGCATCACTTTCTATGGGAAAGCGCACCTTGGTTTTGGAACGCTTTGTTTTGGAATGGACTTCCGGAATAGATTAAGTATGAGAACCAAGGTACCACTGTATGTGTTCTGCAGGCCTAGCCAACCCATATGATGACTTACCAAGTACTCTATCTCAGGGGTGCAGAAGATCTGGCCCTCCAGTTGTTGCTGAGCTACAACTCAGCCACAGCAAGCGTGGCCAATCACCTGGGATGATGGGAGCTGCGGTTCAGCAACACCAGGTAGACTAAAGCTTCCTTAAAAGGTAAAGGGACCCCTGACCATTAGGTCCAGTCGTGACCGACTCTGGGGTTGCGGAGCTCATCTCGCTTTATTGGCCGAGGGAGCAGCGTACAGCTTCCGGGACATGTGGCCAGCATGACTAAGCCACTTCTGGCGAACCAGAGCAGTGCACGGAAACGCCGTTTACCTTCCCGCTGGAGCAGTACCTATTTATCAACTTGCACTTTGACGTGCTTTTGAACTGCTAGGTTGGCAGGAGCAGGGACCGAGCAACGGGAGCTCACCCCGTTGCAGGGATTCGAACTGCCATCCTTCTGATCGGCCAGTCCTAGGCTCTGTGGTTTAACCCACAGCACCACCTCTGTCCCTCTAAAGCTTCCTTACACAGGCCCTATTTCAACATACAGGAGAGTAGAGGTGCAGACTTGCACTCAAGATTGAGGAGGCTCGTTGTGCACACTGGGCAATAGATATGGGACATAATACAGATTTAAATCTCTGGGAAAAACTCTGGAAGAGCGATCTGAAGTTTACAGCATGTTATTCCTGAAGGAGAACTACTTGAAAATTATTTACAGATGGTATTTAACTCTGAGTAGGCTTGCTAAGATGTATAAGACTGAATCAGATGAGTGCTGGAGGTGCAAAGAGGTTGTGGGTACGTTATTTCATATGTGGTGGACCTGTAAAAGGGTAAAAGAGTATTGAGAAAAGTTTCCCCCCAAAAAATGAGAGTCCTTTTTGTTGGGGATAATTCAGAAGGAAATTCCCAGGTGTCAGAAAAGGTAATTTATATATGCCATTAGGGGATTGTGTACATTTGAAAATGTTGGCAGAATTAAGATAAATTCAACAGTGTAAATAAGTTTTGATGGATGTAATAATGGAATACTGAATGGCTTAGTTTATATAAAATATGCAGGGATTTATGTTACGCAAAATGAACATGGGCCACAGTAGTGGCATACATAAATAACCTTTATTGACACTTGGGAATTTCAGTCTGAATTATCCCCAACAGAAGGGGTTCTGGGTTGGGGGGGGGAGTACTTTTAAACATTTTTTTAAAAAATTCATTATGGATCATTTTCAAGTAGTTGTCCTTCAAAGAATAACATGCTGTGACCTTCAAGTCACTTTTCCAGAGTTTTTCCCAGAGGTTAAAATATGGTTGCCAGATTTTTTTCAATGAATCTGGGGACACTTTTTTTTTTTTTTTTGAAGCTGAGTAGCAACAGGGAGTCAGTAGTGGGGATGGTGAGGCAAAAGACCCTGGGTCCAAGCACACATGCATATTGTATAAAGGTGCAAAGCCCTTCTTTTGCACCCTGTGAAACATAAATGTGCAGAGTTTTTAAAAAACCTGGGCAACGGTGCGCTGCCTGCCCATGACTCTTGAGGCTTCCCTGATCTCCATCCCCCTTCCCCAGGGGAGGCTTCCCCTGACAGACCAGGGGAGGCTCAGGAGTCATGGGCAGGCAGCGGTTGCCCAGGAGGGGCCAGCCTGGTAGCGCAGTTGGCTCTGGCTGGCTTCAGGAGCTGCCCGCTGCCGTGGTGCCCGCCATTTTTCCTTTCTGGAAGTCCCCATATGATGTGCCTTGTGAATAACACATCATATGGGGACTTCCAGAAAGGAAAAATGGCAGGCACCACGGCAGCGGGCAGCTCCTGAAGCCAGCCAGAGCCAACTGCGCTACCAGGCTGGCTCTGGGCTGCTGAGGCTGCCATTGCCATGTTTCCCGGGGACAGAATTTGTCCGGGGACAGATTTGCAAATCAGGGGACTGTCCCCGGGAACTGGGGACGTCTGGTAACCCTAGGTTAAAATCTATATTTGAAGTCTACAGTTTTCAAGCTAACCGTAGTATGCCCCACTTGCTAACTGCCTGCTGCTGGATGTGAATATATTTTTCAGTGCATCTGAAAAGGCGGTAGATGGGGCCAGAGAGTCAATTTGTAAATGGAGAGCAGCTGCTGCAGCCTCTTGGTGTCAGGCTGCCTACGCATGTGAAGGAAAGAGAGGAGAGTTGTGGTTGCCAGCACAGGAAGCTACATGAATGTGTGTGCATGTGCGCTGAGCCTAAGAACATAAGAGCGCAAGAAATAGCCCTGCTGAATCAGACCAAAGTCATGTCTAGCCCAGTACCCTGTTGTCTATACAAATGCCACTGGGAAGGATGTGAGCGTAATAGTTTTCCCTCAATGTGCCCCCTTTGCCTCTGGAATGCCAGTGGAACATTGGCAGTGGCAGAAGACATAGGAAGGTGACTTGAAGAGCCAGTGTGGTGTAGTGGTTAAGAGCTGTAGACTCGTAAACTGGGGAACCGGGTTCGCGTCTCCGCTCCTCCACACGCAGCTGCTGGGTGACCTTGGGCTAGTCACACTTCTCTGAAGTCTCTTAACCCCACTCACCTCACAGAGTGCTTGTTGTGGGGGAGGAAGGGAAAGGAGAATGTTAGCCGCTTTGAGACTCCTTAGGGTAGTGATAAAGCAGGATATCAAATCCAAACTCTTCTTCTTGGACCACTGGTCCATCTAAGTTCCATATTGTCCGCAATGAATGGCAGTCGCTCGCCAGCGTTTCAGAGAAGGGAACATCTCCAGCCCTAATTGGAGGTGCCAGGGATTCCAATCTATCTGCCACCGCTTCAGGACGCTTATGGTGATGGATCTCTCTTTTTCTCTCTGCCCTTGGAGAGGGAGATCCACAGGAGATCCTTCCCAGGAGTTTACAATTTACCATTTCTGTTATTCTGATTATTTTATTATTATGCTCTGTATTACGCTTTTATTATTATGCTGCATAAAGTATGTTCTTAATGTTGTACTCCCACCCTGCAGAGAGGGTGGTATATATATTGAAATAATAATAATAATAATAATAATAATAATAATAATACTTCCTAAATCCCCAGTCTTTTGCAATTTCCATCTGACTAGATTGTTCACAATCAATTGTGTACAATTCAAAGGGCTCTGTGGCAACAAATAAAGATCAGGTAGTACTGCAGGTTTTCCTTTCTGGTTGCCAAATATCTAATGAATGAATACATTTTGAATTCTAATTAGGGATGCAGTTTGAAAAGTGCATCACTTCATTGTACAATTCCAAAACAGTTGTGCCTATGTCAAAAGCAAGTCATATGGAAATCTGTCAGTGGGGAGCCTATTAAATGAGTTTATTGATACAGTCCAAACATGAGCTGTGGTGTTCTGTAATTCTTTGAATGCATTCCTTGCACATTTCATTTGCAAGAAATAATACGAGCTAGCAGAGACCACGTAACCTCTTTTGTTAACACAGAAGTCTAACTGCATGGAACATTAAATTTTGGCAAGGACCAACTTTTTAAATGCCACTGGGAGAAGGTTGCTTTCTAATGGGTGACCGGATCCTCAAAAGTTGTGCAGCTGCTTCTAAGGACAACTGAAATACATTGCTGAAATTCTCCAGTGAACACCTCCTCTCAACCTGTTAATGTACATAGAGTATCTATGAACAATGTCAGTGTGCCATGATAGAACAACCCTGTTATTTTGTTCCATTCCAGTGTCCTGGGTAACACTTTGTAACACTGACACACTACTGGTCAAGCTGCTACAATGATTGCTGTTTGCATTTTCATCCTATAAACTGATCTCCTCAGAGAATGGGCCAGTGAATAAAATGAGCCACACTATTTCCAGGAGATAGCCTTAATTATTATTATTATTTTTTGTAAAATGAGCATTTCTCACTTCCCAGTTGACCAACTGCAATTCCAATATCACATCTTTGCAATAGGGTAACGAGGCACAAGATAATGAACACAATTCAGCAGTGATATACGGTATCACTTTTATACACCCTTCATTGCTACGTAAGAATTAAAAAGAGACGCTGGAATATCCCCAATAGTTTTGCGAATATTGTTTAGCTTTGGCTTGGTTGTGCTCATTGGTTCCTTGTTGGGTTGAAATAAACGACAGACGAATGACAAGTGTCATATGGGAGGCATCTACCGAGCATGTCTCGGGAAG